TTCCAGTTTCTTTGTGTCTCTGGAGCAGCTCAGAGAGGCTGGAGCATATCAATGACCTGGCCATCAGTCTGCAGAGATGATTACAGAAGTTTTTTCAGCATCAACAACAGCCTGGCTGGTATGGGGAGTGAAAAATATAGCTGCTGAGATGGTTGTTTATTGCCACTGAATTCTGAATAAATAAATTCTCATCTTCTCCTTTCAGGTGTTCCACAATTGCAGCTGTGTGGATGGACAAGGGCTCGGGCTTGGCAATTCCTCTGCAGTTTTGGGACAATGCCAAAGAGAAAGCTGTACCAAAGCCTTTCCCTATTTTTTAGCATTACAGACTGCGTGTGCATTTCTTTTAGCCTTAGGAGGCACTCCTACATACATGATTATGTTTAGGTGAAATACTTTACCTTACCTTGACCGTAAAGCTTGGGGAAAGAGAAACAGAAAATGATACCTACTATTTCATTCCTGCTGTGAGGAATGGCATGTGGATCAAATTGTACCCCTGAGGATTTGCCTGTACTCTGAAATCCAGCTCTTTTCAGAGGCAGAGCAAAATATCTGTCCAGAAATTTAATTGTAATTTGATGCTGAGTAGATACTTCGGTGGTGAAAGGGGGAGCATTATGCTGATCCTGAATGCTGGGTTTCAATTCTAGTGATAGGGATGTTTTTACCAGGGCACTGGGCCTGAAATAAGATGCAATGTCAAGCCATAGCCAATGCTGTTCACATTGTTCTGAGAAAAAACAGGTACCTTTGTTAAGCCTTGTGGCCTCACAACGTCTTCTGTGTTGGGAGAAGTCTGATACTCCCATTTTTATGGTCAGCTGAGAGGAGCAGAATTATAGCAGGAATATTTTTTTTTAAATTTTCATTCCTTCAGTTGGAAAGCAGCACCACTATTTTATGTCTACCATGTGGAAGTGTCTTTATCCTCCTGCTCATGGGTTGAATCACAATCACAATGGCCAGTGCTCATGGCTAAATAACTTGGCTAAGCTGCTGATTTCCTGCAGTATTTCTGAGCATAAAGCATGCCTGGTTGTGCACAAGGCTCACTTTGCTGGCCACTTTTCAGAACCCTGATATGTGTAATGAGAAGCCTTTGATATTGATGCTGAAGACACAACATACTGGTGTGTAAACTCCAGTTCAGGGAGCAGGCTGGGCACAGCAAGGCTCCCTCCTGTCCCTGTGCCAGCTCAGTACTCCCCTCTGGTTTTTGTCAATTCTTCCAGCTCACCTGATGGATACAGGCTGCTTTCCACTGGTAGGAGTGAGGTGCTTTTATAGGTCACTCACATTCTCTGTCTCTCTGTAAAATGCTAGTGGCAGAGGTGGGTTTAATCTAACAAGGACTGCACACCCTTGTTCCCTCTGGTCATCAGTGCAGCCCCTCATAAAGCCAGGCTTGGAGCTTAACTTATGGGCATGAACTGCCTTATTTTGGTTGGTTCATTTTAATGTCCCTGTGCATTGTCTCCCAAAAGCATTTACAACCTGTTTTCCATTGGTTCACGATGAATTCCTGTAGATTCTTCCATTTATTTCAATGAGTGTTCCTCTGTGGAAGGAGACTCTACATCTGAATTTAACTTTGGTGGATGTTTTTAGTCAGGGTTTGAGTGGGCTGTGCTGGGTAAACCACAATACTTTTGCAGTGGGGCATGTGCAGATGTTCACAGCATGACTGTGGCTACATTACTCTGTTCCTCACCATGCTGGTTTTTTTTCCTTTCCAGATCTGTTTCACCAGACCTGAAATCCTTTGCTGTTGGGATAGAAACTTTGGGTGGTAGAGTACTAGGTAAAGCTTAATTCCTTTGTGATTTTCAAGTGGGTAGTCAGAGAAGCCGGAGAGGTAGACCAGAGTTAGCCATTGCAATGCCCTTGCTCCAGAGAACAAAAGAAATTTTCCAAAATATTTCTTTGTAAGCAGTTTGCTGCGTATTTCCTGGTATGCATTTACATGTTATAATTATGTCTTCAGATTTTTTCTCTACACTGGAAACAAATTAGACAAAGGAAGAAAATGTCATTTCACTTTTGAGGCTTTTTTGGTGTTTTTTTTTTGGTGTTTTTTTTTGTTTAATTGTGGACACAACTACCTGAACTTGATCAGTCTGCATATCCTTAACACCCATCCTCCCTTTTGCTGACCATTATTTAAAGCTCCCATGTGCTTTGCCTATTATTTTGTTTCTTGGGTTTATCTGCAATAAACAATCATTTAAGTATTGAGACACATGGTCTGCCCTGCCTGAAGCAAACCTTGCCTCATCTTCCTTGTTTGCTG